CACACACACACACACGCACACACACACACACACACACACACACACAGTCTTACCGATGTGTTCTGGCACTGTACACTGGAGCTGTTGAAGCGAAGGGCGGGAACTCTCTGTTCCACGCCCTGTATGGTGAGTAAACACTCGTACCCACGCTGGCCCGACTGTGGCTGGGGCAGGTTCTTGGCCCGAAGGGTGATGGGTTTCACTACGTTTACTGGAACCAGGATACGATCCGCTGGAAGCAGCTGAGGACATTCCTGCAGGAAAATAATCAACAAACGGCAAGGTCAAAAACAAACAAAAAATGAGATGAACCAAAAACTATCCCTTGACACAAGTCTCTCAGATAACTCTCTCAGAGTGTTTCCTTCAGGTTAGGCCTTAGTTGAGACCAACAAAACCTCAAAATGGGCATGGGCCTGTTCTTAGCATCAAAATCCATCTTGACAGCTCCTAGATTGAAAGGACGGGCCGATAACGATGGGCTGAAGCTCATTAGCATGGCTGAATTGCTTTGGGGCAGAGTTTAAAAAAAGCCATTATAGATCATTTGAGAAGCTATCTACAAAAAGAATAAAAGTGAGTACTGTTAATTCAAGCAGACAAAGAGATGTAATTTTACAGAGAGAAAGAGGATAAAGAACTTTACAGTGTGTTTTTTTTCTCCATGTCCCTGACTACAATCTATAAGACTGCTATAACGTTGTCTTTTGGATACTACGAAAGAAACCAATGAGGTGGCGCAGAGTGGTATTTATGCAGTGCAGGGCGATCAAAGTGCTCAGGTGGCTATTGTAATATGAATACAAACTGCGGTGCTATCGGGACCAAAGCGGCTACGGAATGCAGATTGAATACTGAGTGTGAATTTAAAGATGCGCTGCAGTCGGGTAATATTTTGTATGGGCATGAGGTTGAGCCATAAACCCCTTTTCATTTTAACTTTCATACCGGATATTTACAGTACAGGAGACATTTAGTGTTATACTTCAAAACACATGAACGCACACCATCGCAAGCACACCAATGCTGGTAAGCATAAACACTTATCTTAGCATGCCAAATAAACAAATACACCACCCACATGCATAATTACAGCTTTAAATAAAACAGCATAGACAGTAAAACACACACTCCACTCACACTCCGACCCTCATATCTCCACCCACACAGGCTCCAGATATTAAAGTCATCAGTAAATGCCGGGCGTAAAACGCAGGCTAATTCCGCTGAGGGCAGCCCTACACTGACCTGACTTTCAGCCAACATTCAAGTCGCTAAATCCCCATTTAGAGCCCCCTCACCTTCATAATAGCTACCCAGCCCCGTGGTCTACAAGGGCCTCTCTAAGTCCTTTCCCAGACCACCCTCCAAGGATTTATCTCCGTATTACCCTGATATAATGTGAACATGTTTATTGGCAGTGGTCTTAGTCATAAATAAGGCACGACAAGGGAAAACCGCCCTCTAAAACACCAATATCTCTGTCCATTCACGCCCAAGTCTCTCTGGCATGCGCTTTCTTTTTTGAGGAAGGTGTCTGGCCGGTCACCCCCCCCCCCACGCCTCTTATTGACGGATGAGCAGGGCTCCGCTGGCAGGTTTATGTGGTGGGAGATTGACTCCAAGCATAACAACAGTATAATTGAAGGTTGGGAGGCTCTAATATGGAGTCTTCAGAGACACTGAAGACTAGGGCCAGGTTATTAAGTCTTTACAAGAAGGCAGAGAAGAAAGGACAGAGATAGACACAATGCGAGAGAGAAAGTGGGATGGGAACAAACAGTCTATTACTCATTTCGAAACCTATGGCAGTTCCCATTTCAGCCTCAATAAAGATTTTGCATAAGAATGTCACGAAAAACTTTGAAGGACACAATGGCGGACACATCACCCTGTCAGCATCAAACTAGATCTTGTGGTCTTGCTGCTTTAAATATAATTGAAGCAGATCAAAAAATTGGCCACACTTCCTGTCTTGAGGCTCAGAAAGAGAGCCAGTGTCCGTTAAGTCCAGGAAGAGAATGATTCCTGTAGCCTCAAGCCAGATACAGCTGAAGAGTCTTACTGGAAGAGACGTTAATAAAAAATGCAGGGACGGTAATTCAATATGCATTCATGAGACAAATGACTCCACACTGCGGTTTCCGTCCTTGTCCGTGACGCGTGTCAAATCCGACAAGACATGCCCGAGGCGAAACATTTGAGGTGGGAAAACAAAGCAGGGTTTGATTAAAAAAAAGGGAAATTATTACTAAGAATAGGCATTTTACAGATAAAAGAGGCTCTTGAGAGTGTGTTTACAGTCTTGGTCTGAGCAAGAGAGGCCTGAGGGTGAGCTGAAGCATAATGATGTGTTTGTCAAAGGGACGTGGAGTGAGGCAGACAGCAATTGGTCTCCCGATTGCTTACTACTGGGGGGGGACTGCATTCAATTCACTGCAGCTGTATCTCCAACGTCTCAGAACAGGACTGATATAATTAGAGTAGAAAGAGATACTGTAGGTGGGGGAAAAGAATGAAGTTCAGTGCGTGCGCTTCTGTTAGAGATGCGCCGAGACAAAGATTGTCATTGAGTGCGAGCAGGGAGGAAGACGCCCTGGCACAGAGAACAGAGGATAGCGAGCTGGCACGGAGTGATAGATCCATAATTAGAGCTGTTTGAGTATGTATGCATAATGGCAGCGTTCAGTCGGGTAGAAGATGAAATGCCTAATTCTCTCCACAGCTCTTGCGGTGTTAGCTGGATGATTACCGAGGCTTCCCTGCACTCGCTTTAGTGTGCCTCCCAACTGCCACGGGCAAAAACCCTCCCCTCCCATTCCTTGCCACATTTTACTTCCTGCGGCATCACACGTGCTCTTATCTTCTCTCACCTCTGACACTTCCCCTCCTTTTCATCTGTTTGTTTTCACTCTCACTCCCCTCCCGAGCTGATCTTTTCTTCTTGTCCTCCACCTTGATCTAAATGATTTTTACCTCAAAGTTTTTCCCTGAGGGCCATAGGCCATCTCACAGTTCTGAACTCAGACCCAAATCCTCCTACTCACAATCTGCAGCTCAACTGCGCAAAGCTGCCAATTTTGCCTGTCAATTAACATCTTAATAAGATGGTAGAGAGGTTACTGGATCGATCAGTTCCTGTTTCACACAACTCTCTCCTTTTCTTTCTTTTTCTCATCTACCTCCATATTGTTCCAAAATTGAGTGAGCTGCCTTGCTTCCTACTGTCTACATAGGCAGCTGCCTTCTAAGGCAGCTTGTAACAGTCATGGAACCTTAAGTGACTGATTTGGAATGCTTTACATGGGTGGCAAGTCATATGTGTCACACAAATAGTTCTTCTCACAACAAGCACATTGAAGACTCCTCTCACAATTGATTTCACTACATGCAGTGTGAAAAGAAGTGTTATTGTAAGAAGCAATAATATTTTGGATATTTTGCGTAAAAAAGTAAGTTTAAATCATTAAAAAGTTTTTTTTCCACCTCATACTTCAGTAAAATTTAAATTGTACTTATTTTTACTTTAATGTTGTTGTTTTCTCTCTCTATCTCGGTTTTTTTTCCAAAACAAAATTCAATGTGTTTAATCATAAGCCTTGATATCAAAAGGTTTATAAGTTCATATAAATTGGTCTAGTGTTAAGATTTTGACTGTTAGTGTATCTATTATTCAAAATCACACCACAATTTCACATTACCCGTCAGTAAGGCATGCTATAAACAGGCACTTAGCAATTCCTAAATGGATGTAAAAAGCCAAGCCATCACAGAAGTTGTTTGCTAAAATGCAGTGGATGTTTGGGTCAGACCGGTGTGCGTTTAGTCATGCAGCAGTACGCCAGTGGCCAAGAGTGAGACATAGGGGACCAACACAGTCAGCAACTGACAGGATTCAGCACTATCCTTTGTATACACACTCTAGCCTGACAGGAAATCAAAACCTGTACAGGAGAGTTAGATTAGCTGTGCTATGATGGAAAAACTATTTTTACTAAAAATCCCTGGACTGAACAAACAAAACCAATCATTACTCCATTATTCCATATTAATTACAATTCTGAAACAATTTCAGGGAAATATGACAAGACTTACTAGGCTTACATTAACCATTAGTTAATCCACTGACAAAGCTTACCTCAAAGCATCTGACATACTTTACCCCACAGCTACTATTTTGGAAAAAATGCTTCATTTAATAATTCTTGACTAATCCATAGGCAAAACAAATATGCATGGTTTTGTACAATGGCAATTTATCAAAAAACATGACACATTTCTAGACCTGGAAAAGTTTACCATCACAACATTTTTTACTTGCCATATAGAAAATTCATTAAAATGTTAATCACTTTTCTCACATGCATCTCTCTGAATATATACACACCTTATGCCAAATTTCCCTACTTTATATAACAGGATAACACTAATACAGTACATCCTTTTCACTAGATACTCTATTTTATGATGCAAAACTGGAAAATCTGATCAAAATATGTTAAACTTACAGAGAGGCAAATGATGTGACTTAGAATATTAGAATTGATTATGAATGTATTTATTTAAGACCAGTCATATATTTAAATGTGAGAGACTGTGAATGGCATACACACTGTTGTTAAATCTTGCCAGAGACGACATTCTGATGCTGTAGCACGTTTTGTTTGTGAACGTGGACTGTTCTCCTGTGCTCATGGGTGCTTACTGAAACAAGCTCTGACTACAGGGGGGCTTCTCACTTCCAAAAACCATTGAAAGACAAGTCTGGATTATTCAGATCACTCTCAGCAATCCCTTAATTGGTATAAAACACAGAAATTCATCTGTGGAAGGTCAATGCAAAAGGTCATCTCATTTCTACATGCAAAGTTGACTCGTCAGCAGCTCGGAGGATTTGCACAGTAAACATCGCTAGTCATTAATTCTAAGCCACCCGGAGTTTGGAAGGGGATCTGAAACCTCCAGTACGAGGGGTTAATGAAATCCAAATTAAACTCATTAACCGGACAAAACACCTGCCTTTAAACAACAATCAAACAAAATCATCCAGTGGAAATGTCATTAAAATGTGCTAATATTCAGTCGCTGCTTTGTGTGCAATTCGCTCGACACACAATAGGGAATCCTAATATTAAACTGGTCAATATTGACAGCGTGTCCATTTGATAACTGGAACGCCAAATGCTGGCAGCCTGAGAAACACTCTGTTGAGAGATGTTAATGAATGCTAAATGATGAGGCTACACATTTGTGTGGCTAAAACACATAGCCTCGGGGGGCAGGTGTCCTCATAATTCATTACGCATTTCAAAGCTAAGCACACACGCATGATGTACATAATCGTATCTTCATGGTAGCTGCCGATTTCTCTTCAGTTGCATGATGCAAATGAAATAAACACATTGTGATCCGCACCATGTAGACCCTCAGGGAGGGATTAAAGGGTGTTTCAGTGATACAAACTCAACGGCAACCCTCCTTGGCATCTCGGAGAGTGAGCTAGGAAAGGGTTTGGCTCTGGCAAAGAGCACAGAGCCCCAACAGCAGCTTTTAATTTATCTGATGGGCCTGCGGTGGCCTCGAGGCATGCAAGTAGTGCCAATATTATTGATAATTTACATGGAATAAGATGTTGGTGGGAATCCAGACAGAAATTTTTTAAAGATTTAATGAGAATTAAGTTAAATTCAAAGCCATCAGACGTGTATGAAGCGGCTCAATGTGACAGGGTGATGCTGGGTAACTTCTCACAATCAGGATGTGACTTGAACCGTACCCCTGCACCAATCAAATCAATTAAGTTCAACTGAGAATGATGAGGGCCAATTACAAAACCCGACGTGTGACCAATCACAAGTAACTCACCTCTGGCTGTTTGACACGACCCTCCTGGAAAGAGCAGCTGCTCGGATCATGGGTGCACGTGTGACGATATTTGCACCAGTGGCACTGGTATGGGCTTCCAACACAGGATAGACACCTGGGACAGGGAATGGGTGTGGATTAATGCCGTCAGTTTGAGTGTTTGTGAAAATAGATAGAATGTTACACGACTTCACTATGTCATTGTAAATACAAAAGATACTTACGACTTGTGTACACTGCAGTTGTAGAAGACAAAACTAGTGTTGGCGAAAGCTAGTCCTGTCTCCTTTGATTTGAGGTAGAGCTGGACAATCTGATGGTCACCTAAGAGGCAGGGGGGAAACATTAAGAGTGTTGAAACAGTTGCTAGTGTGCTGCTCACAGAAGTATCAGTTTAAAGCCCAATGAGCTGCCTACAGAAACCACAGGTTGTTCCAAAAGGTGGGTGACAATAAACTGCAACAAGGTCGCAAGGTTTACTCAATTTTTGTCTCAAAGACTGTTTACAGTATATTCCAAGGCAGTTAACTCATTTTATGATGAATGGGAGAAAGTGCAGCGAGCACTATGGCAGAATATGTCCTGTCGTGTAAATAAAATAGCCAATTACCAATTGATAAAGTCATTGCAACACTCCAGCAGCTTAGAAGCTCCAGTTCCCATAGAAACAGTCCTGAGATGTGCACTTGGTACTGTACATGCGCATTGACTGGACCAACCTGATATATACTTTTTTTTTATTTCTTGAGCAAAACATGTCAGATTTTGTTGCTGATTTGACATATTTAAATATGAGTTTGGCAAGCAGTTTTTTGAGATTTTGGTATTTCCCCATTCACTAACTTTCCTTGAAAGGGTTTCAAGGTGTTAGTACTTAGAGTTTCATGCTGTTATTATACCAAACACACTCTACCAAACTGTATATAGCAAATTGGCAGTTGCCTTTTATACATCAATGACACCAAGCTAAGTGTCTTAATAGCAAGCAGTTTATATAGTGCGTGGATTAAGGTGACTGCTCTCCTCTGCCAAAAATGATCCAAAACCCTTCCCATAAATACATTGTTGAAGAAGAGGAGGAGAGAGACAGAGAGCGAGAGAAAGAAACCTGTACGAGTAAATGGAAATGTGGCACAAAAGTGCCCATCTTCAGCGTGTTTATGTCTGAGCTAATGAAGAACCTCATGTTTAATTCAACATGCCGGACACGATAACTCCCCTCTCAAAGGAAGATCATAATTTTTCACCCTATCTTTTTCTGTCTCTCTTTTTCTCACATACTTTTCTTCAACCTCTTGTTCTCCTAACACACTCTCCTTCCCTGTCATGCGGTGTTTCTTCAACAAAGATCGAATCATTCATCAATCACTGTAAAGTGTGCCTGACAATGAATCTGTCCCAATTAGTTCACCTAAATTTTACCTTGATGGCTGGTATCTCGTGTGTGTGTGTGTATGTGTGTGTGTGTGTGTGGGAAAGTGAGGAATAAGGGAGAGCGAGCAAATAAATGACCTATAACTACATGGGTATGTATATGTATGCATACAGAATCCATTAAAAGCACATCTTGATCCACAACTTCAACATTTTTTATGATGAATCCCACTATTTGGGGTTAAACACACTGTATGTGTATGAGAGTGATGGTGTATGTATCCAGTAATGTGTGAGTGTATAAGTGAGTGTGCACCCTCAGGTGTGTAATAGTGTACTTATCCAGTGGCATAGGAGTGTGTGTTTGCACTGCGGCATTTTAGAGCTCCAGGCCCTTGCAGATTGGGCCGACCTGTAATTTCATGGTGGCCTGACTAGCCTCACATCTCCAATGAGACTTGCATGCATCATTATTCACACACATCACACCCCTGCGCACCACTCTCTCTACCTCACATCCAGTCTGCTGTGCCACTTACTAAGGTAATTTACGGGTGTTTCTAAACCAGACACTGAAAGAACATTGTTGCTTCTTTTCCGCCATGTTTTGTTTTACAATCTTTTTTTCCCCCTCTTTTCTACATGCAGAGGAGTATTCCCCCGTTTCTGCTGTAGTGCACGTCTTCATTATCTTTACGTTGAGACGTTTTCATATTATGAAAAATTACCAGCCTCTAGACAGCTGCCCAGATGTGCGCTCGCTTTAATTATGTCGGGGTAACCAAGCACGTCATTGAGAAAACAGAGGTGTAAGAACGGCATCAATGAGAGTACGGAAGAGGACAGTGAAATGTTCTCTCCTGAAAAATCTTTTCTCTCTCTTATCTGCTAGAGTGAATGCTGTCAAAACCATTTTCAGCCGAGCAGATGGAGTGAAGAGTGTCATCAGTTCAGGAGATCCAATCCAATCCCTTTACATGAAAAATCTCTCAAACCCCAGTGCCAATGGAGCCTCAGAATGAAAGGCTGAAATGGAGAGAGACAGACGAGCACGCAATAGACAGAATGCCAAAACTGCCTCCCTCTTGACGACCTTTATTCACTCAATTACAAAACATGTCCTGCGGCAAAAGTCAACAGCTGCAGGCAAGATAATGAGCATGTAAACTTCCATCTCTGCTCAGGTGTTTATGCCTATCACACTCTCTTCTCTTTCTTAGACTGTCTTCCCTCCTTCTCTCTGATTTAAATCCAGCTTCTCTGGAGTCTGGAGCAGATCTCTCGATCCAGCATCTCATATTATAAAGCTGTCATATTCTCACTTTTAGTCTCAGTCTGGTTCATATTGCCTTAACAAATGCCAATATTCAGTCAGTTCGCCCAATTTCCCCTTGTATTTGATTGGTTAGTGACAGCACATTTTTGCACCTTGGTCTATGACAATGCGTGGGACTTCCTTCTCCGCAGGAGAGCTGCAGGTAATGCGGTTCCCCTCGACTAGACCATCCATCTCCGCCAGGTCCTCAAAGGTGCAGTTGACCCCTGCAGAAAGTTCTGGCACGTTATGTGCCTGCAGAACTAGCTGTCAAGGAAAAAGAAAAGACACGTTGAAGTTATTCAGGGGAGAAAATAGAAGGCAATAACAGACAGGATAAACTTTGGTGTGTGTCACAAATGGACACACCATCTTTGTGCACAGAATAAACTAATTTTTGCTGCCGCTGCCCCTAAAACTGCTGTAACATGGATATTTTCTTATGTCTGTGATTTGAAATGCTCTTGAGAGAGAAGGACGTCTGCAGACTCCACACATGGGAAATCTCAATCCAGCTGCAGACATCAAGACATCCCAGAAAACACACGCAGTCGTTCCATAAATATCCCAGCTGACACGTGGCCAACCACACAGCGAAATCAGGCCATTGAATCAGTGGCCACATATCTCCTAAATTTCCTGGAGGAAAATGTCCAGAGACATCAACACACTTCAGTCAGCCATCAGTCAGCATGTACTGACTCTAATGTGTTTCACTGAACACAAGTGGGTGGGAAATTGAGAGAGAGAAGGAGAGAATGAGAAAGAGAGAGGGCTATGGGGTGAGAGTTTTCATTCTCTTTTTTCTTTATGACTCTCATCTGGAGAGCTGCTGCTTGCTCTCTCTCTCTCTTTGTGTCCTCTCCACCTCTGTTACCCACAATGCCCTCTGGCTCCCAGCCTTCGAATGAATTTCAAGCCCTGCTCTGAAGCACATGTGTTGCCTGACACCAGAGTCAGATGAAGTGAGAAACAGAAGGGGAAGATGGCAAAGAGAAGAATGAGAAAGAGCAACTGTCATGAGACTGAAAGAAATGCCCCCTTCATACCTGCCATTACATTGGCATTGTTTATTATCCACATACAACTATGCATTTAGTATAAAATACAGACGTTGCACCACCAGTAGTCATTATCATCTTCCAGTTTAAATTTTTATTGTCAGTAAAACATGAATGCAGTAAAATATACTTTTAAATACACAATCATTTATATTAATACTTTTTGCGACTTCGAAATGACAAGAACTTTTGTTTTATTTTGCTCTCATAATGACACAACAGTTTTGTGATCTGATCTCTCAATATAATGAACAGCAACTCATTCCACCACCTTTTATAATCTTTTATTTTTCTCCCCAATGCTCACATCTCTCTCCATGTCCATCCTCTTTAAGATACTATTTTCTCCAATTCTAAACCTTCTTAATATCCTCTACCCTGGGTAGTTTCTAAAGCAGGGAAACACAATCTGAATAGTATATGAAACGCAAGTTAAAGTCAAAGAGAGCACAAAAATAAGGAGATCGCAGGAAGAGAGAATAATGAAGTCGTATATATAGTAAGAAAGACAACAAATATGCCCCGTTTAAAATGCCCACAGTGGCTCTCCCTGTCAGTTTGACTCTGTTGGGTGTCCATTTGGGAAAGCATGCAGTAATGCTCTATGAGGGCATCATGGGAAGTGAAGTGGATGAAATCAGAATATCCACACTAATAGGAAGCCGCAAGCCTTGCATAGAGTGGCCTCTGCACCCAGCATTACATCGGTGATACGGCCTGAAACACCCTTTACTCAACAGAACGGCTGACCAGGGCTGTTTTTAGATTGCAGATTAATGAAAAGGCAGGGACATGTAGCAGACACTCTTTTCCCATCTCGTCCCCCTCTCTCGCTGTTTTCCGCTTTCCCATTAAAGTTCAGGATGCACCGGTGGATGGTGGCGCCACTCTGGGATTTAATTTATTTTTCCTTTTAGAGAGGGATGCAGAGAGAATTTCTTCAATTACATTTCGAGCAGCGGTGAACAAACCCTCGCTGGCCACGATAAATATGAATATCATCCCGCTCGGAGGGGGACCCAACAAACAAACATAAAAAGGCCTCTTGCAGCAGTGGGTACAACACGAGGAATATGGTGTCTTTGATTACCTCCTGCCTGAACAGAAGAATGCATCAAGACGGCAGACTCTCACGGACTTCAGATGCTGATGCAGATTTCTAATTACGCTTCAGGATTTGTGAGTGGAGGGAAACAGAGATGTCGATGTACCCCCAGAGACCCCGAGAGCTATGAGACTCTACCTATTGTAACCTTTGTTGTACTTTAAAATCACATGGATAAAATCAATCTACATATAAATGAATTCTGAGAGCACCTATAGTGTCAAATCCAGTCATGATTGATGTTTTCCGTAAACAACTAGTTTAGAAGTGTAATCCTTCTTCAGAATAATGCTAAAGCTGTGCTATGCTCTGCTTATCAGAGCCTCTGTAAAGAAACTTCTTTGGTAAATGCACTTAGTAATTCGAACAATAGTTTAAAAGAGGCAAATTCCTCTTAAGATGGGCTTTACTGTGGTTTGCTGCTGGGAGGATGTCCGGGAAGGCTTATGGATTAAATGTGAAATAACATGAAAATATGAAATAGTCAAAAAATGTTTTCTTTTAGAAGAGAAACTTACTTCAATCCCTATATTCTCCCTGCAGACTGAACAAAGGAGCTTTGTGCTTATCTCCTCAAACAAATATTTAATAATGAAAAAGGTCAAGAAACAGCATGAATGCCTATAGTGCATTTCTGTACACAGTTTGCAATTTATTGCATTGCAGATGTGTTCTTTTCCTTTCAGTAATTTCAGTTTAAAGGAAAAGGTCAATCTCTCTCTGACGCTGTCTTTGTAAATTGCTTACCATTCTTTTCATAACAAACATACACATACATTTATAAAAAATACTGTTAAAACAGTAACATTGTGCAAAGCTTAATTTTCAGCAGCCATTACTCTAGTCTTGTTGACATGATGCTTCATAAATCATTCTAATATGCCGATTTGCTCAAGAAACAAATGTCTTATCAATATCATCAATGTAGAAAACTGTTGTGTTGCTTAATATTTGTTGTGGAAACCTTGATAATTTTTTTTCAGGATTCTTCCATAAATGGAACGATGGAACGTTCAAAAGAACAGAATGTTTGTCTGATCAGTTTAATGCATTGCCAAATATAAGTTTTTACTTTTAATAAAAGTAAAAATAAATCTTAAAAAAGTAATATTATTATTATTTACATAATATTATATTACATCAAACCAACTCATTAGGGCTGTCAAAAAAAAATTAGAATTTCGAATATTCGTCGAATCAAATTAAAAAAAATCCACATTCGAATGCAAAAGCGTTGCATTCGAATTTAAGGTCTGCGTCAGCCGTCAGGCAGCCTTATCAGTGGCGCGCGAAATGCGATGACGATGTATGTGTCATTGATTGCATTTGAATGCTTTTGTTAGCCTATCCAGTTGAACCCACTAGATGCGGCGCAGCTACGTTGTTCATTCATATATTGCGGAAAACGAGATCATCAGTGTGGAGAAGATGTTGTTTACGTCAAAACTGAAACCAAGCCGTTCACACAGAATGCATATTTATCACATTTTCTGGAGAAACATCTATCAGCGTTGCACTTGCGTCTCGCAGAGAGCGGCATGTTTAGAAAGCCATGTAAAATTAACGCAAGTTCAACTTTTAAAAAAACATGTCTAAAGACGTTATGGCAGTTTTTCCCCATTCCACTGTATCTCATGTTTTTAAATTAAGAAAGTAGCCTACTCTTTTTGATTGGTTTTCGGTCCTTTGTATTAAACTATACGTACATGCATGGTGCTGTTTTTTTTTTTAATTGTTTAAGCAACTTTATTAATTATATATGGTTTATAAACATTATTATTATCTACTGAATCTGCTTTGACTGGTTTCCTAGATACAGTCAACACGAATGCTCTGATTGAAAGTAATACAGTACTTACATATGGAGAAACGATTTGTGTTGAATGATTTAGTGTTATCTAAACATATCTAGGCCCTGGTTAAACATCATTCCATGGAGCACAGATCTTGTGTCCAGTTAAACCCACTAGATGCGGCGCAGCTACGTTGTTCATTCATATATTGCGGAAAACGAGATCATCAGTGTGGAGAAGATGTTGTTTACGTCAAAACTGAAACCAAGCCGTTCACACAGAATGCATATTTATCACATTTTCTGGAGAAACATCTATCAGCGTTGCACTTGCGTCTCGCAGAGAGCGGCATGTTTAGAAAGCCATGTAAAATTAACGCAAGTTCAACTTTTAAAAAAACATGTCTAAAGACGTTATGGCAGTTTTTCCCCATTCCACTGTATCTCATGTTTTTAAATTAAGAAAGTAGCCTACTCTTTTTGATTGGTTTTCGGTCCTTTGTATTAAACTATACGTACATGCATGGTGCTGTTTTTTTTTTTAATTGTTTAAGCAACTTTATTAATTATATATGGTTTATAAACATTATTATTATCTACTGAATCTGCTTTGACTGGTTTCCTAGATACAGTCAACACGAATGCTCTGATTGAAAGTAATACAGTACTTACATATGGAGAAACGATTTGTGTTGAATGATTTAGTGTTATCTAAACATATCTAGGCCCTGGTTAAACATCATTCCATGGAGCACAGATCTTGTGTTATATGATGACATAATGGGAGTTTATTAGCTCTTTTACAGCTTAGTATTTGAGGTTTTGATTTTGGGCCCAGAATACAGATCCTGAATCAGCTGAAAGGCCAGCTCCTCTAGTGGAGACGTTAATCTGATATAAAGGCTCAGAGGAGGTGCTGGATTACATGAGGGTAAGGTCTGAAACCATGGCCTGCTTTGATGGATTTTACACACACACACACACACACACACACACACACACACACACACACACACACACACACACACACTAAAAAAGCGAGTGGTAGAGTCAGCACTTAGCTGGGATCAGCCAACAAAAAACACCAACAGAAAAAAGTAACCATCCTGACAAGGGATATGGGCACATTGTGATTGGCATGAGGAAACAGAGTTGATATGACTGTGTTTACTGTACATGCACAACAATATTATGATATTAATCAGAATTTGGTCACATTCAGGTTATCATGTAAACGCATTAACCTAATTACATTACCAAATTAAGCCAATTTTCTGGTTTCCAGAAATCTGAATGATATATATATTCTTATATTAATCTGAACTTTGGGTTATGTAAGTATCTTATTCACAAACCCATAACATTTATGCAGATCTGTGCATGTCCAAACAGCTAATTTTGGGTGATATTTGGTACAGATAGTTGCAAAATACTGAGCTTCAAAGAAAAATGTATGGAGCAAGGAGGAGATTCACATTAAAAGAAATATCATTTATAGGAGTCTTTTGTCCTACATTTTGCAGTTAATCAAGCTCTTGTATGTTATTGTTAAAGACATGAATGAATAAAGTTAATTTGTTAAATTGTCCAAAATCACTAAAAATATAGCATAATAAATGGAAAGAGCAAATGTCTCCAGTATTTCTTAAAGAGAATAGCAGCTGTGGAGCATGTAAACGTCTTTTTCTGAATAGTGGCTTAACCGGAATGTGTATTTTAATCAGAAAATGACACGCTGGATATCATGAAGTATACCACCCAGAAACACCACTGATCAGCTTTGTGTCATGTCTGTGACTCGATCCAAACGCCACTGAAATAACATGGCATGTGTGGTACGGTCAGGCTGCATGACGTGTCTTCATAAACCCATCATCGTAACAGGCAGATCCATAAAGGCTGAACTTAAGACCATGATCACATTAATGATGGAGCCTGAAGAGAAATGGGCTCCATAACTGAATTAGTAAAGGTGAATGTCAATATGTCCAGTGTTTTGGCTTTATCCTCAGAAACACTTAAAGGGGTTCTGTAATTCTTCAGTATTCCTTAAGGATATTTTATGGTGTGATTACACAGACGGAACTGAGGTGAGAATTGAACATTAGTGCTCACCATGACATTGTATTGAGACACGGAGATGTTGTTGGGGTGAACGCTGAGTCTCACACACTGCTTTATGTCCGAGGCAAAACGACGAGGCTCGGATGACCGTTCGCACTTCTCCTTCCTAGTGCACCTGGAAAACAAAGACGAAAAGAAATATGTGAGCACCTAAGAAAGGGAGAAAGACAGCATGTAAAAGGAAGACAATGTGTTTGATAGGATGGGGGGAAAATAGAAACTGCTGCACAAATGCGTTCAACCATCTTCCATCTGTGACCAGCACAGCATGAAGGAAATAGAACACAAGCTTGGTTACTAGTCCAAACCCATGCATTATATTTCAGTTTCATATTTCAGGATAGAGGGAGGTGGGACAGAGAGAGAGAGAGAAAGAGAAAGACCAGTTGGTTGTGGTGACTCTATCCTGTTTCTGCTCTCTCCCGGGTTCTGCAGGTGGGGAAAATCAGAGCTCAGAGACCCTCCCTTTAGACCCAAACGCCCTCCATTCTGATCCGTTCACAACACTGGGTCACAGAACCGATGAGGAGACCACCCTAACACTGCGACATCTAATCCAGACACATCAGATTACAGGTCCAAGGTCAAGCACGTTTAAGACTATTTTACACTAGTGACTTTTAGTTCTGACCGCTTGACTTGCAGAGTTACAAACTGGTGCTAAAGAACCCAGACACCAATACAGTGCACTGTTTTCCAGGACCCTGTAACAGTTAATTAATATATTATGTAATTATCTGCATTAAAAAGATTATTTATTTATTTATTTAGACACTACTTCTAATCCTTTATAAGATATAAAGACATATGAATTCAGAGTCTTACATTTAAACATTTCTAGGATTTTACATGACCACACTACCAAAATGATTTACTGTAGAAAAGTAAACACAAAATGTCCTTTTAATTAAATATTAAAATAAAGTTAATACTTAAAATGAAATATAATGTATTAATACATTTTATATATTTATATATTATTATTATTTATTAATAATTTTCGGTAACACTTTAGTATAGGGACCAATTCTCACTATTAACTAGTTGCTTATTAGCATGCCTATTATTTACATATTGGCTGTTTATTAGTACATATAAAGCACATTATTCTGCATGACCATATTCTACATCCCTAATCCTATTATCCAACCCAATACCTAAACTTAACAACTACCTTATTAACTATTAATAAGCAGAAAATTAGGAGCTTATTGAGGCAAAAGTCGTAGTTGGTTTGTTAATAGTGAGAATTGGACCTTAAAATAAAGTATGACCTTTTTTTTTTAAATCTTAAAGAATTAAAAAAAAAAAAATGTAATTGATTAAAAATACAAATTATACAGCAAGTATTTATAAGAACCAAGATATAATATAAGACAATATACAAATTTTTTTGGTAAAAGACCCAAAACACATCTTGTAATCGTTCATACCTGCATATCAAAGCACAATTGAGTCTTAAGGCCCATTCACACCAAGCACGATAGCTATAAAGATAACGTTATTAGCGTCCACACCAGCGAACGATATCGTCTGTTTATTCTAAGCGCACATGCGTCTGCCGCTTTAAATTCTTGAGCTCGTTACAGCAGGATGGATTCTGATTGGCTGTCAGTGTTTTATTGTTCATCAGCTGGAAAAAAAATCATTTTGAAAGTGATCACAACGATATCGTTCCTCTGTATTGTTATCGTTATAGTTGTGGTGTGAACTACGCTATTCTTTAATATTGAGAACGATTGTTAGAACTATATCTTTATCGTTATCTTTATAGTTATCGTGCTTGGTGTGAAAGGGCCTTTACACTTAAACATTTCAAAGTTTTACTTGCTTGGATAGTACAACACTGGCTAAAATAGTCTGCTCTCACTGGGTTATTTAGCCTGTCATTCCCCGGACTAATCCAGATTGGCTTTATTCAAATCTGTGAAGCAATTAACTACGAATCAGCACAGAGTCCTTACGAGAGGGAGAGAAGTTTATAACAAATGACAGTTGTGACAGGGTTTTCTTCCACTGCAGAAAAGAAGGGGGGAGAGAGAGGTAGGACAGTGAATGAATTGAAAAGTTAAGAAGCCTAACGTGGAGAACTCTGAGAACAGAATGGGAATAATCTGCTGGTGAATGAAAGAGGAAGCGAAAGAGATTTAAATGGAAACAATCATCCTCTTTCTCTGTGCTTCTGTGCTAAGCAGGTCTAAGATGCGTTTAATCAATGGCCTCCTTTGTAGCTCCAATCACACAGCCTGAATCCCTTTTCTGCAGCTGATTTAATAAGCATGCTGTGTACTACGTGTTCAAATACACACACACACATTTACGCTAGGTGGAAGCTATGGGTGGTGAAACATTGAACTCTAAAACGAGAGAGAGTGTGTAGCATTCTCAGAGCGCTGTGGGAGAGACAAACTGTCTAGTGCAAGTCTCTGGATGATTTGGTGGGGCTGTGCATCCCGCAGTTAGATGCACTTGTCAAAGGCCTTTAATAAAACATCACACCTAACAAGTCCCTCTCAGTCTGCACCCATTACGTAAGACTACAGGAAATTATGCAGGCAGTGAAGCCTGTTTAAAGCCTGTTTCTCTCCAATAGGGGGCGTATGAGGGTTGTCATGAGGGTTGTCTGTTTATAATTTCGAGATTACATTACTTTGACATGTTGTGGCTGATACAAGTCAGTGCTGCTTGTAAGATCAGGAAAATTTCTTATTTAAAAGGGTTATAAAGGAGATGCCTGCTTGTGGCCTGAGAGCACTGTAAAAACATTTATGAGTCTTCATTTATGAGCTTGTGTAAAAGGCCCGGAGACAAATATCTGCAGGATGAATAGCAGTATGTTGGTGTATCTCATTCCTTTAATAAATAAAAAATGTATTGGATACATTTTTTAATATAATATTTATTTCATTGTCAAATCAGTTCCCAATGGATAAATTCAAATCCTACCTACTTTTTTCCCCTGAAATTTCTTCGCATTTGAAAATATTACAAACAATATTATAAATATAAAATGATAATAAATTTCATCTAAAATTTTATACGTATGAAATTACAATATACTGTTCATTTTATATTAACATTAATACATTGAATTTTATAACTGACTTCTAAAAGTTCATTATATTATATTATATTATATTATATTATATTATATTATATTATATTATATTAATTTCCAGTTTCAAGACTTTTCTGGTGTGTATGTGTGTCTACTTCATTAATATTTCTACATGTGTGTATGTGCATTAATGTGTGTATGAGTTTATTAAAGCCATCTCAGCCCTCTGCAAATGCTTTTCCATCTGATGAATTGGTGATCTCCTTGGTAAGTGCACTTGCACTTGTACACTGCACTTGTTAAAATTACAAATGACTTGCTTCTTGCGTCAGACCAAGGCTTCATCTCATTGCTAGTTTTACTTGATCTTAGTGCTGCGTTCGACACTATAGATCATGACATACTCATAGATCGATTACAAAACTATACAGGTATTCAAGAGCATTCGGGGTTCAGACACACTCTCTTTGTTTAAATCTAGATTAAAGACACATCTCTTTGGCCAAGCATTCAAATAATGCATCGCATAATCTTGTACTGCAGTTATATCTGATCAAATGCACATTATTATTCAAATTATTAAACAAATCAATTTTGCTTGGTTGGAACAGCTTGACATTGACATCCCGTGGTAACTAGGATTTACACAAGCTTCGGTCTGGATCCAGAACACCTGAGAAGAGATGATGCCAACCCCTCAGAGGACCTCA